CATTCCCGATCTGCTTGCCCATGGCGGTGGAACGCCTGGGTGTAGCAAGTTTTGGCATGCGTGCTTCCAGGTCCCTGCAGTATGGGCGTCACAGAGGGGCACCCCACCGCGACCCAGGCCTGAACCGTGGAGTGTGTTGCCAGGCGCTCTCACGGAACTCAGACTAGGTGGCTAGCGGCTGTTGCCCTGGCGGTAAGCGTCAAGTTTCGGCTGGATGTGCGAGACACAGAGAGGGATATATATATATATATATATATATATGTATATGTATATATACAAAGAGAGGAGAGAGGAGAGAGAGAGATAGAGAGAGAGAGAGAGAGCCAGAGAGATAAGAGAGAGGGAGAGAGGTAATACTAAGAAACATAGTAAGAAGAGATGGGGCCAATCTGCGTTCCACTGAAGACGCTGTTGGCAGCAGGCCTTAGACTTCTTGGAGAGCGCCCAGCGGATGCAGCTGAGGCTGCTTAATGCTTTCGTTCTCTTCTTCCCATACGTATCTGCCGTTCCCCATTCATTTCCGACTTCTTGTCTTGGCTGTGTTGCTATCGTGTTGTATGCGTGCACGTTACGTTGTGCGCCCATTGCCGCCCTTATGAGTTAATGTCATGTCCAGAAATAGCGGCTATCTTCACGCGGCGGTGTTCTTCCCTCTGGTTTCTTCTAGTCTTCCATTGCCCCTGCTACACTCTCCCCGTCCAGCCCTGTCTTTTCGCTGCGCTTTGCTCTTCCCCACTCACCGCCGCCTCCTCCTGCTCATCTTCCTCCTGCTCCTCTCTCCTGCCCTTACACCTCAGCACCCCCTTCCTACTTCCATTTCCTTCCCTCTCGCCCTCTCTTGTACGTTACACCCTGGGGGCTCAGTGTCTGTCCCATAACTGGCGGCCCGTTCCTGTACTCAACGCGGATTCGACGCATATCCTACGTGGGCTCGACGCGAGCAGCGACGGGAGCAGCGACGCGAACAGAGGCGCGGCGGGACAGACATGGCCCCCGGAAGACGCAGCACAGCTCTTCTGCCATCCTTTGTCATGGCGCCAGGCCCTTGTCAGCGGGAAACGTATGCGACCGCAACAAATCGGTGACCGAACACGTACCCGAGATTGTGACCGAAACAAAGTGCGACCGAACTTGTGACCGAAATTAAACGTCAGTTGTTTTCGAACCAAGAAATTGAGTCACACTTTGGGGCGCTTGCACACATCTCGCGCCGATTACCGTCACACTCGGGAGATTTTCGGACACCTTTTCGGTCATTGCACCATTGCACCCCCCTCGTATAGACGAGGCTGCATGACCTTTGCCGCCCTCTCGGAGAATGTGGCAGGCCAGGAGGCCACCAGCAACGGGCGTGTGAGAGACCTCTCCCCCCCATCATTCAGGGAGGGCCCGGACGCCCCCCCCCACCCCCCTGCGCGGGGACACATGCTGCTCACCACCATAGGCCACCTGGAGATAAGGGGAGGGCGAGGTGGCCGGGAGCCATGAGACGGACGTCAATGCAAACGGGCGTCAGCCAGAACGCAAGATTTTGCAGGATCCTGCAGGATCCTGCAAAGCCTGGCTGGCCTGGCTTTGCGTTGACCTGGGTCAGTGCGTCCCCATGGTTGAGTTTCTATGGGCCTCCGGAGGTCTCAGGGGTGCACGGACGCCCCTGGGCGGCGCCCAGGGAATCCAGAGCAAGTGGCCAGGGCCAGCCCTTCCACTTTTTTGCAGCCCTGGCCTGTTCCCCTCTGGTTTTTCCAGCCGTGGCGGTCCCATCTCCACTGCTTCGCTTCGGGCCTGTTCCAGCCCCTTTTGACAGCCCTGGCATCTTTCACATTCATTGAATATGTCGCCGCTTCGTTTGTTCCGGCGCGCGGCCTTAAGTCTTCAAGAGGGCGATTCGGTCACCAGGACAAGCTCCGCCTCGGGCGCAGTGGGCTCGCCGCGGGGTTTTCCGCGTTGTCGTTTGCAGAAGGCGAGATCTTTCACCGCCACGTAGAAGAGCATACCTGGCCACAATTATCCCGGCAAAGCAACCTAACAGCGAGGTGTAGGAGCATATCTGGAAGCATTCCCCTTACGATTCAGATGAGAATCCAGTTGTGGAATTCTGCTGTTCTCGCAGTCGTAGTCGCATTCGCGATGACAGTCGCAGTGGCAACGGCAGTCGCAGTCACAGCCTCAGCCTCAGCCTGCCTCAGCCTCAGCCTCAGCCTGCCTCAGCCTCAGCCTGCCTCAGCCTCAGCCTCAGCCTGCTTCAGCCTCAGCCTCAGTCTGCCTTCAGCCTCGGCCTCAGCCTCAGCCTGCCTCAGCCTCAGCCTGCATCAGCCTCAGCCTCAGCCTCAGCCTGCCTCAGCATCAGCCTGCCTCAGCCTCAGCCTCAGCCTGCCTCAGCCTCAGCCTCAGCCTGCTTCAGCCTCAGCCTCAGTCTGCCTTCAGCCTCGGCCTCAGCCTCAGCCTGCCTCAGCCTCAGCCTGCAGCCTCAGCCTCAGCCTCAGCCTGCCTCAGCCTGCCTTCAGCCTCAGCCTCAGCCTCAGCCTGCCTTCAGCCTCAGCCTGCCTCAGCCTCAGCCTGCCTCAGCCTCAGCCTGCAGCCTCAGCCTCAGCCTCAGCCTGCCTCAGCCTCAGCCTGCCTCAGCCTCAGCCTCAGCCTGCAGCCTCAGCCTGCTTCAGCCTCAGCCTCAGTCTGCCTCAGCCTCGGCCTCAGCCTCAGCCTGCCTCAGCCTCAGCCTCAGCCTCAGCCTGCCTTCAGCCTCAGCCTCAGTCTGCCTTCAGCCTCGGCCTCAGCCTCAGCCTGCCTCAGCCTCAGCCTGCATCAGCCTCAGCCTCAGCCTCAGCCTCAGCCTCAGCCTCAGCCTCAGCCTGCCTCAGCCTCAGCCTCAGCCTGCCTTCAGCCTCAGCCTCAGTCTGCCTTCAGCCTCGGCCTCAGCCTCAGCCTGCCTCAGCCTCAGCCTGCATCAGCCTCAGCCTCAGCCTCAGCCTGCCTCAGCATCAGCCTGCCTCAGCCTCAGCCTCAGCCTGCCTCAGCCTCAGCCTCAGCCTCAGCCTCAGCCTCAGCCTCAGCCTCAGCCCTCAGCCTCAGCCTGCAGCCTCAGCCTCGCCTTCAGCCTCGGCCTCAGCCTCAGCCTGCCTCAGCCTCAGCCTGCATCAGCCTCAGCCTCAGCCTCAGCCTGCCTCAGCATCAGCCTGCCTCAGCCTCAGCCTCAGCCTGCCTCAGCCTCAGCCTCAGCCTGCTTCAGCCTCAGCCTCAGTCTGCCTTCAGCCTCGGCCTCAGCCTCAGCCTGCCTCAGCCTCAGCCTGCATCAGCCTCAGCCTCAGCCTCAGCCTGCCTCAGCATCAGCCTGCCTCAGCCTCAGCCTCAGCCTGCCTCAGCCTCAGCCTCAGCCTCAGAGCCTGCCTCATCATCAGGCCTCGCCTCAGCCTGCCTCAGCCTGCCTCAGCCTCAGCCTGCATGAGCCTCAGCCTCAGCCTCAGCCTGCCTCAGCCTCAGCCTCAGCCTCAGCCTCAGCCTCAGCCTCAGCCTGCCTCAGCCTCAGCCTCAGCCTGCCTCAGCCTCAGCCTCAGCTCTGCCTCAGCCTCAGCCTGCATGAGCCTCAGCCTCAGCCTCAGCCTGCCTCAGCATCAGCCTGCCTCAGCCTGAGCCTCAGCCTGCCTCAGCCTCAGCCTCAGCCTGCTTCAGCCTCAGCCTCAGTCTGCCTTCCTTCAGCCTCGGCCTCAGCCTCAGCCTGCCTCAGCCTCAGCCTGCCTCAGCCTCAGCATCAGCCTGCTTCAGCATTGAAAATGTGGCCCGGGAGTGGAGTTCTGGGAACTCGAAAAACACGAAGTGGCCTACAGTTGGCTCGGGGCATTCAGAACCATGCCCAGGAATGGAGTTCTGGGAACTCGAAGACGACGAAGTGGCCTACAGCTGGCTCCGGGCATTCAAAATCATGCCCAAGAATGGAGTTCTGGGAATTCGAAGACCACGAAGTGGCCTACAGTTGGCTCCGGGCATTCACAGTCATGCCCAGGAATGGAGTTCTGGGAGTTCGAAGACCACGAAGTATATTACTGTCTGCTACAAAAAGAGTCCCCGGATTCCCGCGGCACCCGTCCGGCATCTGTCCAGCATCTGCCCAGATCCCCCTGGGGAGTCATGATGCTCTCTTTTGAGACCACTTGAAACCGATCAGTCTTCGCTGTTAGGTAAAAAGTTCTCGAACCTCGATCCTGGTCCAGGATCCAAAACCGTCCACATCCAACAAGTGCTTGATCATCCCCCATGAGGGAGGCGAGCGTTTTGTTGCTATCACCTTTTGCACACACGCGTCAGCAGCCCGCCTGGCTCAGGAAAGTCCCGCAGCAGGGGGCGAAACGTGGACCTGATACGGACAAACACTGATGATGATGATGATGATGATGCTGCTGCTGCTGCTGATGATGATGATGATGATGATGATGATGATGATGATGATGACGATGATGAGGATGAGGATGAGGATGAGGATGAGGATGAGGATGATGAGGATGATGATGATGATGAGGAGGAGGAGGAGGAGGAGGAGGAGTTGGAGGAGGAGGAGGAAGAACACCACCTGCCAGCTCTTTCGCAGTTGTTTTGGGTTGGGGGCGCAACCCACTTTGGCACCCCCACCCCGCCCAAAGTACCCACTTCCGCCCGAGGCCAACTTCTTGAACAAATGAGCACGGACGTTTTGTCCCAGTCTCCGACCTCACGATGAACAACCGGCACCGCGGAACGGTCTGTGAGTTTGCTGAGGACCGCTGTGGAACACAAGTGGGCATGGGCAGTATATGTTCCCGTCTCCTCCTCCTCCGCCTCCTCCTTCTTCTCCTCCTCCTTCCGTTTTTTTCCTCTATCCTCATCTAGGTGGCTTGGCCGCGCGGCGCGGGACGCAGGCGTTTTGCCCGCGGCGGGCGCGCGCCCGCGGAACCATAGCCCCTAGCCCCACGGAGGAGCGCCAAACGCTCTCGCGTTCACCTGCCTGGCGCCGCAGGGAGCGGCGCCAGCGAGCCATGGCGAGGAGCGAGCTGAGGTGCCTGCAGGACGCGGAGCGCCCCGACGCACACCACGGCAGCGCAACTCCGATGGGACGTGGCGCAGGAGCCGAGTCGGCGGCCAAGGGATGTGCCAACGACTACATCGTGTGCAAGAGCTGCGGCGAGTGGTGGTGGAGCTCACGCTTGGAAGGCATGAACCACCAGTGCACGTGCTGCGCCTTCCTCCCGAAGCCGAAGACGGACAAGAGTGGCAAGGGCAGCGACGCCCTGGCGTTCGGAGGAGGAGGACGGCGAGGCAGTGGCGCGGGCAAGAGCAAGGCCAAAGGCGCCGAGCAGGTCACCCAGGCTCCGCAGCTGCTCGCGGATTTGCTCGAGGCGCTCAACCTCCACAACGGCGGCGCCTTCGCCCGCGCGTTGCAGGGAGCTGCCTCGGCGATCCAAGCCGCGGTGCCCGAGCCGTCGCCGAAATCAAGGGCGGAGCGGCTCGGCGGCACGGCCAAGGCGCTGCAGGTGGCCAACCTGAGCTACTCGATGGCGTTCGCGGCGAAGCAGAATGCTGAGGAGGTGGCAGCAGCGGCCAGGACGAAGCTTGAGGCCGATGCAGCAGAGGTGGTGAGGGCAGAGAAGGGTTGGAGGACATCCAGGCAGAGGGGCGTCATGTGCCCAAGGGCATCCTGGAACCACTGGTCGACGGCGAGGTGCAGGACCTTGCTGCGGGACAGCTGGCAGCGAACATTGATTGTGAGTTCGACTTGTCCGCGCGCGGCCTGGACGAAGAGGGCCGAGCCGAAATAGAGGTGGCCAAGAGAGCAGTTGTGGCACACATGAAGGAGAACGCACAGACCTTCTCGACTCAGCCGAAGGACCACCTGGCAACAGCGAAGCTCAAGGCAGCAGAGCAGCAGGCCAATATCACTCGGGCGGCGACGAAGAGGAAGGCAGAAGGAGGAGACGCAGGTGAGCCAAGCGGAGCGTCTCAGCAGGCGCAGTTCGCGGCGGCTGAGGCCCCACCGTCACCGGGAGACGGATCGCAGCTTGGCGGCTCAGCAGTGGACGATTTCTTGAAGCAGATGCGCACGAAGGCTGCAGGTGGCAAGGGCGGCCCGCAGGGGGCCGCCTCTGCCTGAGGCCAGGCGCCCGGGGCCCGCCGATCAGGAGGCGGCGCCGACGGGCCCCCCGAGCGCGCGCTGTTCTGCGCCAGCCTCCAGCGCTGGGGACCCACGGCGAAGCCGTGGATGGCCAAGCAGAAGCTGGGCCAGGGGTGCGTTGCCCACGCGTTCCAGGAGACGCGCGTGGGCGCCAGCGAGTCAGAGGTCACGGAGTGCGAACTTGTATACTTGGGGTACAAGGCCTGCTTCACGACTGCGAGGGCTAGCTCTAGATCGGAGTAAGGAACTTTCGGCGGGACTGCGGTTGTCATGAGGGGACACCTGCGGGCCTCATCTTTTCGGCGCCAGGCCAGACCATCCACCGTCGCGGAGGTGACGACCGACGTGAGCGCGGGGAAGTGGCAGGCCGACCTAGACCTGCGTGACTGATCTCCAGTCACGCGGCACGTTCAGGCGGCGTCGATCACGGTGATCAGCCTCTACTTGGACGCGGGGGCGCCGCCGCGGGATGGCATCAACGCCCGCGAGGTGACGGCGCTGGCTGCGTTTCTGAAGGGGCCCAGCGGCGCGTGGGTTGTATGCGGCGGCTTCAACTAGCCGCCGCAGGAGATGTGCGACTCGGGATGGCCCGCGGCTACGGGCAGTCCACGACGTGCCGTGGAAGCCGCGCGTCGGGCTGAAGTTCGCGCTGCGTGCCGAGGCGCAGAGACGAGGACTCGCACGCCGCGCGCGCGCCGCAGCCTTTCCCGCCCCCCCCCCCCCCGCCCGAAGAAGCAGCCCGACCCCGGCAGCAGGAGGGCGAGGAGGAGAGCGCGGGAGTTGGCAGCAGCGCAGGCGAGGGTGGCAGCAGCTAGAGAGCTAGAGCAGGAGGAGGCGAGGAGCAGGAGCAAAGCCCACCGCCTCAGGACTTCGAGGTGGCGCTTGACAACGCAAGGCGGGAGGCGCCAGGGCCAGTCGGAGCGAACGGCTGGATGATGCCCCCCGACCAGGCGAGCTCAAATCCTGGACTTGGCCACCCATGTTGTGCAGGGATGTAAGTCCTGGGGATGGCCTCCCAGACTCAGAGTCGCCGCGTGCTGGGCGGTCATGCGCAGATCCTGGAGTGGGGCGCCCAGGCTGTGAAGGGGTGGGCGAGGGTGTGGATGTGAATCCCGGGGATGGCCTCCCAGGTTCGGGAAGGATCGGGCGGGGTGCGAGGATGGTCAGATATGGGAGCCGACCCATTCGAGGACCTGGATGCACTGGTGGCAGAAATGCACTGCGACCAGCAGCTCTGGCCGGGGGGGGGGGGGGCATCGAGGCGGGGGCCCTTGCCAGGCGAACGCCATGGCAGACGTGGCCTCGCCAGTGCCAGCGCGGGGCCAGTCCCTGGGCACTCGCCAGTCGGGCCGCGAGGGGGGGGGGGGGGCTCAGCCCGCGGTGGCCATGAGGGCCGCGAACGCAACGAGTGGCACGGCCGAGGGGCCTCGCCCGAGCCAGCCAGGGCAGCGCCCAAGATGGAGGACCTGAAGCAGGAGATCAGGACGGCGGCAGCGGACGTCGGCACCGCCACCCTGGGGCGCGTCTGGGACACGGCGAAGACGCTGCAAGAGATAGAGGAGGACGCGGAGCAGCTGGTGCCAGAGTCCATCAGCAGGTGCGCGGTCTTCAAAGTGGACGAGACGGCAGCGAAGCAATTGTGGGCTCGATTTGCAAGCATTATCGGCGCGCCGGAGAGGTTCCATTGCGCGGCGTATCGCGTCGACCCAGTGAACAGGCAGCATTTCATGGGCCGCGGCAGCGCTTGCCAGCTAAGGGAGGGCGCCACCAAGGAGCGCGGCGAGCGGAGAGAGAAGTACAACGGCAACATCGCCGACTGGTGAGCCCGCGCCGAGGTGGCGCCCTCGGCGCTGGCGAAGCTAAAGATGAGAAGAAGAGGACGGGCGCAGAAGAGCGCCCTCGCGAGGATAGGCCGCAGCTCGGCGCACGACGGCATGCCGCGGTCAGGCAGAGGGGCCTCGGAGACAACCCTACTGCACAGAAGCATCTGGAGGCATAGGATGACAGCGCTAGGGGACCTCGACGTGGACATCGTGGGAGGCATGGCGCTGCAGGCGGAGCAGGAGAGGCGGGCTGCTGTGAACCGTGACCTGAGAGAGACAGAGAGAGAGAGAGAGAGAGAGAGAGAGAGATAGAAAGAGAGAGAGAGAGAGAAAACAAAAAGAGAGAAAGAGAGAAAGAGAGAAAGAGAGAGAGAGAGAGAGAGAGAGAGAGCGAGAAAAACAGACAAAGAGAGAGAGAGAGAGAGAGAGAGAGAGAGAGAGCGCGAGAAGCGTCGGTCAGTGGCTAGCGGCCGCTGGGCAGAAGCCAGGCGCGCCCCACAGGATCACCAAGCCTGTTAGCAGGAGAATGGAAGAGCTGGCGACTCCCACGTGAGTGACCGACAGCCCTCTGGATATCGTGGACGCCATGGCAGACTAGTTCGCGATGATCTGGCAGTGCGACTAGGCCGCCCGCGGCAAGCGTACAGCCCTGCTGGTGGACCTTCGGAGACGCGCTGCAGCCGAGGACCCGCAGCAGTGGACCGCCGAGGACCTCGACACCGCCCTCGCGGGAGAGCCCGAAAAGGGCCAGGGCGTCGACGGGCTCTGCTGCAGCGACGTCCGCAGGCAACCGATGAAAGGACGGCAAGCCATAGTGGACATGTTCGACGAACGAGTGCGAGCAGCGCATCATGTGGCCCTGGCAGCTCTTGAATGTGCTGGTCATGGTCATGCCGAAGCGGACCGTGCGCTGGCACTGCTCCCCCAGCTAGTGAGGTGCTGGGAGCTGCTCCACTGGCCCGCGGTGAGAGCGTGGGCTAAGAGGCAGGGGCGCGAGTGGGGCGCGGCGGCGGCGGCAGGCAACAGCTGCAAGAGAGAGGCCCCCGACGAGCCCGGCATCTTCCACGGCTGCGCGCTGGCGGACATCGAGAAGTTCTACGACAGCCTGCGCATCGACGCCCTCGTCCCCGAGGCGCTCAAGATGAATTTCAGCCTGGGGCTCCTCGCCATGCTCTGGCAGCAGCACTGGGGGGCGCGAATCCTGAGGTACAAGAGCGCATGCTCGGAGCCGACGCTTGCGGACAGGTCGATCTTGGCGGGCCCCAGGCAGTCAAACAACGTGGCCAAGACGGTCGTGCATGCGGTGCTCCGCTACTTGGCCGACTCCGCCACAGGACTGCCGAAGCCGACGCCGAGGGCGTGGTTCGACGACATCAGCATCAAGATAGTCGGCAGCAAAGAGGCAGTAACGGGGCATCTGACGACGCCGACCAGCTTGCTAAAGAAGGGAACGAAGAAATATTGTCTAAACCTGGCGGACAAGGCGACGATCTTCACCTCGCACTTCGGCGCCACGCTGGAGGTCAAGCGGAGGCTCGCCCGACGCGGGATCAGGGTCAAAGCGGTCGCGGAAGGAAGCGACCTGGGGCGCGGCCGAGCGGCGAAGGGCACCGCCAACGGGACAACGCACGCGAAGAGAGCCCAAAACGCGACCAAAAGGTTCGGAGCAGTTGGAGCTAAGATAGGAAGGCTGAAGCTAAGGAAAAGAAGAGGAGTCGCGCACCAAGGGCCAGTCGCGTCGCTCGTGCACGGCGCCATCGTGCACGGGCTGGCGCCGTGGGCCCTGAAATGAGCGAGGAGCTGATGTGTGCAGGACCTCTCGCCTCTGGCCGAAGGTGCGACCAGGGGCCCCTCAGCGAGGGATCATGCGAGGGATCCGTCTTGCGGCGAGGGCCTGGCGAGGGGGGGAGTGGCAGCTGCAGGGGCGACGCGGAGCTCGACATCGACCAGGGCCGCCCAAGCCGCCAGGGCCCCCTCCCACCACTGGCCCCGGGTGTGGCCGGGCGCCCCGCAGCGAGGGGCAATCGGGGGGGTCCGTCCAGCGGCAGGGGCCTGGCGTGGAGGTGAGCAGCAGCTGCAGACCAGGACAGAGGCGTGCAACACCGGTGGGGCGACCTGGACGACGAGAGGTACCAAGGCGACAACGACGCTGAGCTCGGCGGCGACCTGGGCCGCCCAAGCCGCCAGGACCCCCTTCCCACCTCTGGCCCAAAGTGTGGTCAGGGGCCCGTCAGCGAGGGATTATGGGAAGGATCCGTCCAGAGGCGAGAGCTTGGCGAGGGGGAGAGAGGCAATTGCGGACATGGGCCGGGGCGTGCAGCGCCAGCGGGACGACGCGGCGCGCAGCAGCGACCTGGGCCGCCCTCGCCGCCAGGACCGCCTCCCACCTCTGGCCAGCGCAGCGGCCAGGGGCCCCTCAGCGAGGGATACTGGGAGGGGTCCATCCAGCGGCGGAAGCAGCGCGAGACCACGCCAACTGGACCCCTCTGGCCAAAGCAGTTGCCAGGGGGCCCTCAGCGAGGGATAGCGGGGGGGGGCGCCCAGCGGCGAGGGGTCCGCGAGGAGGAGCGAGGCTGCTACAGCGAAGCCGGGGGCGGACCAGCTGAGCAAGACGGAGACTGAGGAGAGCAAGACCAGACTCCTGGCAGCGGCGAGCAGCGCAGTGGCCCATGACGACAAGAAGCCGCATGATTATGGAAACGAAAGGAGGCCAGCGGGTGCAGGACGACATGCTGGAGACCGCACGGAGACGGCTCGAGGCAGAGCGGGCGAGGGCCAGAGACGGTGCCAGGAGACCCGACCTGTGCACGGATCGCGACGTGAAGCCCGCGCCGCCGCCGCTGCTGGCGCTCGGGCGGCTCCGCAGGCTGCTCGCCGCCGCCCCCGCCGCCCGCGGGAGCGAAGCGGACCCAGCGGCGGCAGGAGGCGCGGCTTGCCGCGACCTCCGCGCCACGCCGCGGGCAGAACTGCCAAAGCGGAGGCGCAACCGCCGCCGCCGCCGCCGCCGCCGCCGAACCGCTCTGAGAGGCGGGGCGCGCGGCGAGCGGCGCGGTGGCCAGATTCGACGACGCCGACGAGGGAAGTGCCCTGGACGAGCTCCTCCCTCCTCATCCTTTCGGGAGGCCATGCTCGTCACCCTTTTTCTCTTCTCCTCCGTCCTTTTCCTCCTTTTCCTCCTCCTCCTCCACCTTCACCTCCTCCTCCTCCTCCTCCTCCTCCTCCTCCTCCCTTCGGCACGCTCCGCCTCCTCCTCCTCCTCCTCCTCCTCCTCCTCCTCCTCCTCCTGCTCTTCCCAGTCCGTCGTCCTTATCCCTTCTCCCTCCTCTCAGGTGCCTGTCTGGGAGCTTCCAGAGTCTGCGCACGAGCCTGGGACGCGATGCCATGAGTTTGCGATTTCTTGATTCGGAGATGCCGGGGGGCCGCGCGCGAGCCGAAGGCGCGCTCTGCGAAAACGCTTGCGGCGCATGCATTGGGAACGTTCCCCGTCCTTCCCTCCTTTCCCTCCTCCCTTTCTCGAGTCCGTGGCCCCCTCACCGAACCAGCGTTGGGTCTGGTGTCCATCGGGGCCAGGCGTATCGGCCAGAGGCCCGCCCGCCACGACAGGGAGGTGCCCCCACCAGAACTTTTTCTAAGCGCCCACGTGTGTGGCCACAGCCCACCCGGGAACTGGCGACAGCGCAGAGCCCCTCCCCCCCTTCCCCTTCCCCCCCCTCAGAGGGCCACGGTCGTCACGTT